TGAAGTCCACAAGTCTTAAAGTTGCCACGTTTGGAGACCCCTGTTCTATATTCTATATTCCATGTTCCATTCCATTCTACATTGTTTTATTCCTATTCTATTCTATTCTTATTCTTTATTCCTCCTTGATGGATTTGTAAAAAGAAAAAAAAGAGAAAAGAAAGAATTTTTGCTCTCCCCCCCCCCCCCCCCCCCCCGCAAATCTTTATTAGAGCTCATTTTGGTTACAGGCGACTCGCTTACAGTCTCTCCGATGCTTCACAACCGGCCGGCAAATGGAAAGCAAAGTTTCTGAATATCAGAAGATTTTCCAGGTGAGACGTTGGCCGCCTCCCCACTATCCTTCTTCCAGGGCTGGGATCCCACCGGCAGAACAACTGGCTCGGGGAGTGCACGCTTTTCAGGCCTAAGGCAGGACTAGAACTCCCCGTCTCCTGATGATTGGCCCAAAGACACCCAGCCGGCTTTCACGCCTGAGGCGGTCATAGAACTCTGTCGCCTGGTTTCTGGAGCTTTAACCACTCGACCAGACGGGTTCTAGGTTTATTTTTATTTATTTGGGGGGGGGGGGCTACTCAGCAGCCCAGGAGTGGCTGCAACAACCACAACTCCCCACCTCAAAATGGGGCTTTACAGGTTAACAGAGTTGGAAGGGACCTTGTAGGTCATCCAGTCCAACCCCCTGCCCAAGCAGGAGACCCTACGTACACCATTTTTGACAAATGCAGTCTTTTTAAGAGGTGTGGACGTCACCGAATTAAGTGGGGGGTCTCTTGTGCTCCCACCCCAGGCAAACAATGAGTTGCCGGTGCACCTGAAAAGGGGAACCTCCGATATGGTGATGTATCGTGCCACCATGGCTATCGCAACCTTTGGTGAGTGAAGTCGACCCTTCCCCCTCCGGGCTTTGGGGACTGAAAGTGGGGGGGGGGGGGCTGCAGAGGGGTGGAGTGGGGGGTCATTCGAAAAGTCAAGACGTGAAGCGACCAGGACTCACAATGAAAGCAACAATGGCATCCATTGACAGCAGACTTTTATGGGTGACGCACGTACACACGGACCCACAAACACATATAGCTCAGTCGCAGAAACCCAGCCCCCACCCCACAATTCAAGGGGGGAGGCCCCCAATTGTTCTCTGGGCTCCGGCCCGTATGAATGAAGCGGCCAAATTACAGGTAGTCCTTGATTTACGACCCCAGTTGAGGCCAGCATTTCCGTTGCCAGGTAACGGTTAAGTGAGCTTTGCTCCATTTTATCACCTTTTTCGCCACTGTTCTTAAGTGAATCACTTCCATTGTTAAGCCAACCATGTGGTCGTTAAGCGAATCTGGTTCCCGTGTTGACTTAGCTTCTTAGTAGCTGGTTGGGAAGGTTACAAATGGCGTTCGCATGACTGTCATCAATACGAGCCAGATGCACCAAGCGCCCAAAATTTGGATCATGTGACCGTGGGGAATGCTGCGATGGTCGTCAAGAATGAAAAACAGCCGTGGGTCACTTTTTTTCAGTGCTGTGACAGCTCACGAAACAAATGGTTGCAAGTCGAGAACCATCTGGGTTCTAATTCAGCCTGTTGTCAACCCATCAAACATTCCTGTGCCTGTTTTAGTAGTTGCCATTAAAAAAAAAGGGGGGGGGGGAGAAATCTGGAAGAGCAGTTGAAAGCGAAAGTGCATTTGAACTCTTGATCTTTAAAAGATTGTAGCTAAACTACCAGAGTTTTCGCCTGCGAATATAGTTAATTGGAGAACGTGATTGATGACACCCAGTCCTCGAACAGCGCTTAGTTGGAGAATGTGATTTATGACACACCCAGGGGGGGAGTGGAGGGGGGAAACAGGGTCACAGGGGACTGTAAATGACGTGGGCCAGAGTTGGCTTCATGCAGGGCAGGGCCAGGATGTCGCCTCTAATGAACCTTTTGAAATTTTTTGAAGTTTGGCTCGAGAATCATGATTTAATTAGACTGATTGCTGGAATCCTGACACCACCTTGGCCACTTTAAGACTGGTGGACTTCAAACTCCCAGAATTCTCCAGCCAGCAGAGCTTACTCTCTTGTAATCCCTTCCTCTGCAATCTCTCTCCACTTTAGGAGATGAAGAGAGAAGAAAAACAGGCATAGCTGGCTGGGGAATTCTGGGAGTTGAAGTCCACCAAGTCTTAAAAGTGGCCAAGTTTGAAGACCTCTGACAACGGATACCACATTTGTAGCTCAAGAATTGACTCGTGAGCTCCTTGGTGCTACCTAATCTTAGTTGCTTTTTTGCAGACGTTTCGTGACCCAACGAGGTAACATCGTCAGTGCTAGAGGGGTTTGTGCTGTCTACAGAGTTTGCTCTACAACAAGGATGCCCAACCTTAGTCAGTTTAAAACTTTTGAGGCCTGTAAACATAACTCTCTGGGGAATTCTGGGAGGTGAAGTCCACAAGTCTTAAAAGATACCGAGGATGGACACCTTAGCTCTACAGGCAGCAAACCCCACTCCTGCCGGCGCTGATGATGTAACTTACGTATGCCAGAGTTGGCTCCATATAGGGCAGTGCCAGTAAGTCGCCTCTCATGAATCCTTTGAAGTTTATGGAAGTTTGGCTCAAGAATCATGGCTTAATTAGGGTGATGGCTGGAATCCTGACGCCTGTTTTGTTCCTCTCCAGCCACTTGCTATGCCCTCTATCACATCTATCACCTTGGAAGAATCAAGAAGCATTGAGAAGGCAGCCGGGAATGCAAGGCCAGACCCTGCTGGGACCCCCCCCCCCCCCCCCCACCCCCCCCCCCCCCCCCGCCCCACTCCACCCCTGCTCCTGTTTAGAAAACTCCGGAAGCAGAGAAGAGGAAAACGTAGTTTGGGGAGCTTGCAAGACCAAACCAGCAAGGAACCGTGTGGGGTTTGGCTTGTTTCTTTTTCCAAAGTGTACTCGATCCCTACAGCGACACGAATAAAACAAACGCAACAAAGACCATGATTTGCCTGGACTTTAAAACCCATCACGCACGTTGTAAGTCAGAAACAGAATTTAAAAAAAAAAAATACGGAAAGGAAAACAGGCGCACAGTGTTGAAGGATTCCACAGTGACATGTAAGCCAAGCCACATTTTCAGGAGTGGTGCCTGGGCTGGGCATGGGGAGGGGGGCTGCTGCCACTGGCTGGCCGGGGTCCTTCTCTCCGTTGGGCCATGCCAGCCTTGCCCAGTCTCTCCTCCCTTCCCTCGGACAGACCCTGGAGGAAGGGCCTGGATGGAGCCTAAATATAAATTAAAGCGCTGGATTGTTGGGTGTTTTTTTTTTAATGGACCCACTTCTAGCCACATCATTGGGTCGATACCCCAGAATAGATCATCCCTGTCTCTTTCAGCATTCACCCCCACCCCTGTTTGGATGACCTCAAGTGTCCCACCAGGGCTCTTGGCTTCCCCAAGCTCTGTAGCCTTCAGCTACAGAAACGTTTGTGGCCCCACTAAGCCAAATTGGGGGTGGTGGTGTTTATTTTTTGCCATTGGGCTGAAAAAATAACCATTCCTAGCTTTTTCCCCCGTGGGGAATCTGGGAAGCGGACTAGTCAGTTTCTCACCGCAGTTTCTTTCCTCTTCAACAGAGCAGTTTTTCCAGCAAGGTGGCTGCTTAATCAGCCATCTTAGCCATTAAAGAGGGGCTGGGCGATACTGAGACAGCCCAGTGGGTCCTTGTGCCAAGGGAAACATGCACACAGACACACAGCCCCGGGGGCCAAAGCTCGGGTTACGCCCCCTCCCTTGCCATTCGCATGGGCGGCATCACTTTAGCAACCTGGAAGCATGCATGTTGGTTCAGAAGACGGATGAGATTCACGCAGGAAACTTGGTTTAAATTGCTTGGATTGGAAGGCAAGGCATCCGCTCTGGAGCTGAAGACGGACGAAGTCGGTAACTCTGGTTGCATTTGGTGAAGTGGGGAGGGGGCGCAGGGGTGGGGGTGGGAGCGAGGGGCCGGAGTGGCCTCAGGCTTTCTTCAGCATCTTGGTGGTCTGGTTGTTGGCTTCGCTGATGCTGATCACATTGGCAATGGCCTGCGGAGGGAAGAAGAAGAAAACAAAGAAACGCTGAGCAGGGGGTTGGACTAGAAGACCTTAAGGATCCCTTCCAACTCTGTTATCCTGTATCCCAAGGGTCTTCACATTTAGCAAATGTAAGACTGGTGGACTTCCACTCCCAGAATTCCTGAGCTAACATGACTGGAGGAGGAATTCTGGGAGTTGAAGTCCACCAGTCTTAAATCCAGGGCTTAGCAGGCTGGGACAGCTGTCAAGTTTAAAGACCCCTGCTGTATTCGATCTAGATCGGGGGTCTCCAACCTTGGCCACTTTAAGACTTGTGGACTTCAACTCCCAGAATCCCGTGTGGAGACTCTGGGAGGGGAGGGGCAGGGTGGGCGGGGCCAGCCGGTGGGTTCAACTACAGGTTTGGTGAACCGGATGTAAATTTAACATCCGGTTCACTCAAACCTTCCCAAACCGGCTGAATCCTACCCCTGAACCCCCTCCTCCAATAAATTAACAATACAGGGCCAAACAGGGCATCTCAATCAGAGTCTTTCCAACATCAACCTCCCCTCCACACCGCAGCCTCACATTTCACCCAGACAACTTTTTTTAAAAAAGAATCACTATTAATTCTCAGTCATTCCCATTCCTGTCCCCAATACATGCCTGTGTTTGCCCCCCCACCCCAAAAAAACCCTGATCAGTTGCCATGAGTTAAAAAAAAAAAAGAATAATCGTGGCTGCAAAGACCACCATTCCTCTGTGGCTCTTAAAAGCCCCTTACAAACGGTAATGGTGGAGGAGAGAGCTTGCAATTCAGTATATATCAAATTTGGCTTGCAGTTGGACTGGGGTTTCCCAACCTTTAAGATGCGTGGGCTTCACCTCCCAGAATTCCCCATCCAACCATGCAGAGAATTCTGGGAGTTGAAGTCTGCCACGCTTAAAGTTACTACGGTTGGGAAACCCCTGATCTAAACTGTGGTTTTTCTTTTTGTTTTCTTTTGTTTCAAATTTTGCTGGGGGACCCTTAAGCCTGTGTCACTTACTCCAGGTATGAATGTGGATGCTATCGTTACGATCGGATTTAATGGCGCCTTTTCCTCCCGGCCGGGCGCATCACTCACCTTCTCTTTGATATTCTCCACCTGCTTGCTCTGGACATCAATTTCGTTGCTCATGTCCACCGCCATGCTACGCAGGTTGCTCAGCATACTGTCCACCTGGGTCAAATTCTGCTCTAGCTCTTCCTCCACGTCGTCCTTCATTATCCTGGGCAAGAAGAAGAGATGCATTCGGAGCGCATCCTCACACAAGGATGGACTCCGGGACTCTTATAGTTAGGATTTGCAGGTGATAAAGTTGCTCCTGTTAGCAAGAAGTGACCACGACATTCATTCTCCTCCTCCTCCTCCCTGAAAACCCCGCTCCCTTCTAGCATTGATATTGTTCCCTAGTTGGGTCATGAAAGGTCTACAAAAAAACAGCCAAGCTCAGACAGCACCCAGGATCCCATAGTCCTCCTCCTTCTCCTCCTCTCCACATACTCCACTCCCTTCTAGCACTGATGATGTTCCCTAGTTGGGCCATGAAAGGTCTGCAACGAAACATCCAATCTCAGAGAACATCAAGAACCCCACAGTCATCCTCCTCATCCTCTTTTTCCTTCTCCTCTTCCTCTCCACAAATCCCACTCTCTTCTAGCACTGATGATGTTCCCTAGTTGGGCCGTGAAACGTCTGCAGGAGAGCAACCAAGCTCAGAGAGCGTCGGAGACCGCCCAGACCTTCTCCTCCTCCTCCTCCTCCTCAGGCCCTTTGACCTACCTCTGGATGAAAGGCCCACTCATCATCATCTGTGTCCCAGCGGTCATCATCATGGGCTGCTGTGACACCACATCCTGGGCATTGCCAGAGGCTGCCTTACTCGCCTCCATGGCCTTCATGTTCTTTAACCTGGAATGGAAAAGGAAGAAGGAAAAACCCACACTTCGGTTGTCATCCTCGTTTGCACCATGACTAGGTCTCCCTGCTTGAAGACACGGGGGGGGGGGGTCCAGGGGGGTCAGAGAAGTCAAGATGGCAGCCACCACCTTGCCTTCCAAGCAGTGTCCATTTTTTTAGGCAGCCATCTTGATTTCTTTGACTTTCTCTCCCTGTCATGCAGACGCTTCTCTAGAAGAAAACCATGCCAGAGCCCCTTCTTCTTTGGAGGAGGAGAGAGCAGAATCAATCCACGACGGAAAGGGCAGCAGGGAACCACAAGGAGGAGAAGGAAAGCCTCCTTATACAAGAGCAATCTATCTGCAAACACCTTGCGCTCCTTGGAGAGGGCTTGGAGAAATCCGGGACTGAAGCAGCACCCGGGTCCAATCTGGGACCGTCTAATCAGCTGGTGTGTTGGGTAACCATGCAGGCGAGATGCCGCCGTGGCTTGCATCACACTTAACCACGAATCCTGGCTAAACCATTTCCCGCAACCACCAGAGAACTCACTTGGCGCAGGGGCAGACGAAAAGGCCGCAACACTTGGCCATGTCGCTGAGGTTCTTCTCGGCTTCCTTCATGTCTTGGATAATCTGGTCTAGGCCGTCCTCAATGCGGTCCAGCTGCTCTGAGGGGAGGAAGGGGGAGAGGGAAGACCGTGAACACGGGGACCGGGAAGGGCCCTCCCGAGGGCATCCATATGGACGTGTCCAAAGAGCCAAGGAGAAGACCATCACACAAATTTTAGGGCCATTTCTTACTGTGGACGTTAAGTGAACCACCCCAGTTGTTAAGCGAATCATGCTCAACTTGAGAGCTAGAATTAATAAATTAATAAATTAAAAATTAAATTAAATTTCCACCCCTTTTTCACTTGCATGGCACCTGCCACACCAGAATTTCCGTCGCTAAGCAAGTTCAGTGAGTCACGGGAGATTTTACTACCTTTTGCCACCTTTGTTGAGCTGCTAAGTGAGAATCATGCTGTCATTAAACAAAACCCATTGACTTTGCTTGTCAGAAACTGGCCAGGAAAATCGCAAATGGCGCTCACACAACCACAAAACACTGCAACCATCCTAAATACGTGCCATTTACCAACGTCCAGATTTTGAATCATGTAACTGGGGAATTGTAGTGGTCATAAGTGCAAGGACTACCTCCTTAACTGATTGTGATGGGCCTGGATTTATTTTGCTTTTTTCTCTGATTTCTTTGCACTCAGCCAGAACTTGGGGTGGTGTATTAAAATTAGGAAAGAAGTCCAGATAAACAACATGCAGGTTCAAATTTTACGCTGTCATAACATGATTTGATTTAACAATTCTGACTCCCAGAATTCCTGAACTGGCTGACTGAGGAATTCTGGGAGTTGAAGTCCACCAGTCTTAAACTTGCTATGGTTGGAGATCCCTGGTTTATAAGACTTAGGCGCATCACATAAACCATGGTTAAAGAAACTGCAATGTAGGACGAGGGGATCATCCAGCAATTTTCACACTGCCATAAATCCTCAGCATTTACCCCCTTGGTCATCCAGCATAACCAGAGTTCGAATCCCGGCATCCTTGCTCTGTTGGAAAATCAGAAATAAACAAGAATGAACAATGGCTTGGTTAGAAATCCACAGAAACGGGCGACTCATTTTTTCTCCCCCCACCCAGTGATCTAGTCATAAACAAGCCATTCATTCCTCCCTCGCCTCTTACCTCATCTACCAGCTGCAACATTCGCCTGGTACTTTCCAAAGACTGCCAAAAAGAAAAAGAAAGAAAGAAGAATGCAATATTAGGAGAGAGAAACAGCCGCTGTCCTTCTGTATCATCTAAGAAAGAAGAGCGGACTAAAAAATAAATAAATCTGGTTTTTAATGAAGAATCCTGGAAACCCCATTGCAGACGCTCCAAAATTTCAGATTTTTTAAAAATAGGATTTTTTAAATAAAAAAACAGAGAGTCAGTTTCGGCCTTCTTTGTGTATTTTTTTTTCATTAGTTGGAAGTGAAAAATATGATGCAGGATCATCTCTAAAGCTCTCCAGCTGCTGTCAGGACGTACAAATTGATTGCAAAAGGAAAAAAATCTGGCCGATATTTCGGCTCAGCATATATAGGTGGTCCTCGGCTTACGACCACAATCAAGCCCGATGTTTCTCTTGCTAAACGAGACATTGGATAAGTGGATTTCTTGCTGCTGTTGCTAAGGCGAATCACCGCAGGTGTTACATGGCTTGTTTCCTTGAGTTTGCTGGTCAGACAGTCACAAGACGTGATCTTGGCACCCAGCAACGGTCGTAAGTATGAAGCAGTTGCCAAGCATCTGAATGTTGATCCCGTGACTACAGGGTCGCTACGATGGTCATGGGTGTGAAAAACAGCCATAAGTCACTTTTTAAAATCCCATTGTAACTTTAGACCGTCATTAAATTTATGGTCGTATTTTGAGAACTATCTAGGAATGGTGCGGTGGAGTTCTCGCCTCACAATCAGGAGGCTGTGAGTTCGAATCCTAGGCAGAGGCAGATATTTCTCTCTCTGGGCACACTGAGAATTGTATCTGCTGAACAAAACTCCTCATCAGCGACAGGAAAGGCATCTGGCCATGAAAAAGACTCCGCTAGCTCTATTCAGTTGCACAGACTCCACCAAGCCAGGGATGATGGGGGATCATTAAGTGAAGATGATGTTGAGCACTGTCTGTATACCGTTCAGATTCTAGATTTCATTCAATCATCATGAATTTAAATTTCTGTCCAGCCCTTAATGAAATAAGCCTGGAATTTAAGGCTTTCCTTGTGGTTTTCCGTCTTTGAGGAAATTCCACTGAAAGTTTCATTAGAAGCTTTTTGCTGGAGGCCTCTGCCATTAATTGGTATTTGTTCCACACGGCAGCAACATTTATGATGAGTAAACTGTTGATTAAACTGCTGTTTAATTGCCCTGCGACTGGATGGCTTTAATTACAATTTTCTTTATTTTGCTTTACATGTATTAGCAAAAAAATCCGCACCATTCTGCGGATCGAAAAATAAGGAAAGGCCAGTGGATCTAAAGGACGGCTGAGGAGCCGTTACCCAGTTATTTGCTAGTCAGGCTACAACGTCGTGAAAGGGGAATTATTTGCAGGCTCCAGAAGCTGCTCATTCAAAGGGACAAAATATTAATTAAACCCGCAGGAGTCTAATTGACAAACCTCCCAGCGGGTTTCCTGATCCGCCCTGAACAATTTGATCCTGCCGTTTTACGTCCTTTGAGGGTAGCGGGAGGAACCCAGACGACCCAGGGATGAGCAGCCACCCTTGAGCCGTACGTGTCTGTTGCTGAGCAAGACAGTCGTTAAGCAAGTTTCGTCCCACTGTACGACCTTCCTTGCCCCAAGTTGTTAAGGGAACCACTGCAGTTGTTCACTTGGTCCCGCGGTCGTTCAGGGAATCCGGCTTCCCCCGTCGGCTTTGCTTGTCAGATGGTCGCAAAAGGGGATCATGGGACTCCCCCAGGGATATAGCAACCGTCGTAAGTACAAGTCAGTGGATGAACGGCCGAAGTTTGATCACGTGACCATGGGGATGCGGCAACGGTCGTAAGTGTGAAAACTGGGACATAAGTTACCTTTTCAAGTGCTGTTATAACTATGAATGGTCACTAAATGAATAGCTCGAATTCAAGGACTTCCTGTAACAAGTGGGAAATTTTGCTCCCTGGTTGCTCCCTCCTGGATGGAGGAAGGAAGGAAGGAAGGAAGGAAGGAAGGAAGGAAGGAAGGGAAGAGGGAGGGAGGGAGGGAGGAGGAAGGAAGGAAGGAAGAGGAGATGAGGAGACGAAGGAAGGAGGGAGGAAGGGAAGAGGGAGAGAGGAAGGACGGAAGGAAGGGGAGAGGAGGAGAGGAAGGAAGGAGGAAGGAAGGAGGGAAGAGGAGA